CATCGATTTCCGGCTTTTTTTTTTTTTTTTCTTTTTGGATGTTTTTGTATCTTTTTGGGCTCGCCGCCATTTGCCGTTCGAAAATTCCCCGTTCGCGCTTTTTGGTGCTTCATCGATGCTTTGCGCTCGTTGCAGTCGCAGGAGCACCACAATCAGCTCAGCGAGGACGACACAGGGTCCAGCGGGCGCAAGCCAAAGTGTGTTGTCGGCAACCGACTCTTTTTTTTTTTTTTTTTTTTTTTTTTTTCTGTTTCCCGGTTCGTTTTTTTTTTCTTGTTCTTTCTTTATTATTTTTTTTTCTTCGCGGCGTTCGCTCGCCATTGGTCTCGACGCGCGGTCAAGGCAAAGAGCACATTGTGGTGCCCCGACGCTGATTCAACGCGTGGGATCGGGCGGGGAGCTCGACCGGGGGGTTTGGCACGCCGTTGACAGCAAGTGAAGATGACAGTTGCCCTGGCTGGCTGGCGGGCAGCGCACGTCCACCCCCCGCGGTGCGTTTCCCCACTCCCGCACCACCGCAATGCGGCTTGCCCGCAACGCCGCTGAACGGGCACCAGGCGCAGCCAACCCCAAACCAACTCCCCGCTCCTGTCGCTTGTCACACCGGCTCCCGACAAACCAGAGATGTGCAAATGTATCGGAAAAAATAACACCAGCCACTTAAAAAACGTGTACCTGAATCAACGGCACAACGAAGAGGATTTTTCCAAGCAGGACACAATGCAACGGGCGTCCACAGGAAGAGAGCGCGAATTTCAAACAGGGACCGGAAAAAAAACCGTCAAACAAAAAACCAAAATACAAAAACAGGAGTGCAAAGACAAAAGATGGAGGGTTTGGCATTTTGTCTGCACCGCTAATGAGGAATCGGGCCGCAGTCCGAGCGCGGTTGTGTGCATGAGAGTGCGGCCGAGGGTGGCGAATGCTAGTAAAGCGAACTCACTTTTTGCTCGGATGTGCAGGAAGCGCGGTGGCGAACGCAATCAACAACAGCAACGACAGACAACAGCAACAGACAACAACAACAACAGCAATTTTTATACTTTAAACCAACCGCAAACGACCATCCTTCGCCGCATGACACAGTCCGGCTTCTGGGAGCGCCCAATCCGATGAGCCGCACTAGCTGGTACTCTATCGACCTGCATTTATTGGAAGAGGGGGTGGCGGGACACATTCGACGTCGGGAGCAAGCGGCGGGCCGAGAGCAGACCAAATGCAGAATATTGGTGCGTGACTCACGCCATGTTGCCAACACACCCCTGGCTGACGCTCCACCTTTTTCTTCATCGGATGAACAATCAAAGCGTGGAATGCCAGTGACAGTGACGAGTAAGCGACATATCACCGCCGCCTTGTATTCACGGGGATGTTCCGTCGGGGGTCCGTGTACCTCCTTGGTGACCCCCGTCGGAAGAAACAAAAAAACGAATTCCTGCGAGTTCGCACCAACATGTCGCCTGCTTCACGCAGACGATGCTCGCAGCGTCCCCAATGGCACCGGCATGTTCCAGCGCGAGTGCGAGCTAGCCGTGCGCGCCACTGCGACATTGACAACTCGTTCCCATGGCCGCCAAAAAAACAAAAAACAAAAAAAAAACACACACACATAAACCCGGAACGCGGGGGCTTGTCGCTCACGTTTTTGCCTTCTTTATGGTGATCTTTTTTTTTTTATATAGTGATTTTCGGGTTGTTTTAATTTTAAAAAAATGTCTTGATGCAGTATTTATTTTAACATGATTATTTTGGGACTGGTGTATGTGCCACAAGCTGTGTGCACCCTGTCTGCCTCCCGATTTCCTGCCACACATGTGTGCATGAATTGTCCGGGGGTCGAGTACGCGACGCCTCTTCGGTCTTACAAGCCAAGACACGGGTGGGCTCGGTTCGTGGGAAAATACAAATCACTGCAGAGTTTCGATTTTAATCCGAGCAAGGAGTTATTGGTTCTTGCTTTTTTGTTTGGTTGCTCTCGCAGTGTCCGCGCATTGTGTCACGCCGGTCATTGCACCATCGTATGAGGTGGACTGAGTACACGGAACACCTGGTCAAAGAGCCTGCGACCGTCGCGGTGTGACTGATGCCGCTTTGGTTCCCGCAACCGGAACCGCCGTCGGGCGTGTTGTTTTATTCTTGATCGCATCATGCAAACTCTCGACATCTTCAACTAGATCCGGGCATCATGCATACAATGAGCTCGAGTTGAAGTCTATTACAAAACAACAACAACTGCAATGACGATCTAAGCTTAAACAAATGGATCTAAAATGTACAAAAAAGCCATCTACAAAAAACCAAATCGAGCCTCAAAAGAGCCCGCGCCGCACACGCACCAAAACAACGACACGGTCGGTCAATGCACGGTCGGAATGAGATCGCTGGCATACTCAGAGTCCAGATCCTCTTCGCTGCTGGGCCCTACAATGGCAGAGTCATCGTGACTGCTGTAGCCGTCCGAGTCGCCCTCGCTGGACTCGCCCTCCCCGGAAGAGTGGTCGGAGGCGTGGGCTGGGGCCGCGTCCTCGTGGCTACGACCATCGCCGTTGTCGTTCATGAGGACGACGGTTTTGCGCGAGGAAAGGGTTCGCTTTTTGCGTCGCTTGATGGGGTACGACTGCCTCCTCCGGGTTTCAAGGCGACGACGAGCAAGGAGCGATTGCTCTCGCTCCGCGGCATCCTTGTGTGGCCGGGCAGTTCGACTGAGGTCCAGAGCATCTCCGGTCTTTTGAGCATCATCGGTTGCCAAAGGAACTGCCTCCCAAAAATTAGCTCCGAGCAATGGATTTGCTGCTGGCATGGTGGATGAGGTGGAGCGAGTAGCAGCGTCTTGCAGATTGCCCGTTTGCTCGGGCGAAGAACCATCCTGCACTCCCGTTTCTGCACTCAACCTGGGCGACGCCAGCTTGGACAACTTGATCAGAATTCGCTGCACCCGGGGCTCTGGTGCTGTGGTTGCTGCAGGCGTGTCGCGTTCTGTGGATGCAGCAATGTCTGCTTCCGGCCCAGCCGTTGCTGCTGGTGCAGTCGTTGTGTGCGGCTGCGGTTGCGGGATTGCAGCATTTCGAGAGTCAACGTGACCGCCTTCCGATTCCCGCCCTGCTGGCGGCGAGGATGGAGCTGCACTGCGACGCTTGTGAGGGATGGAAGAGCGATGTGCTGCTGCGACTGCGGAGCTGCGAGGCAGATTGGTCCTGCGTGAAGCAGCAGGAGCAACATTTGCGTCGCTCTGTTTGAACAAGTCCACAAGCGATTCGGGATGCGTTTCCGAAAAGAATAGGTCTCTTCTCTCTTTTTCAGTCGCAAACGCAATAAAGTTGCAGATTTGACGCGAATCCCATTGGCTGAACACCTCAGATGGAATGTCTTGCAAGAGAGCAGAGTCACTGACAACCTGCATTGGCGCGCGCATGTAGTGCGCAGTGTTTCTGAACCTTCTCAAAGTGCCATTCAGAACTCCCATCATCCGATCGAGCCAAGTGTCTAGGGGTTGGGCACGAAGAAGCACCCCACCGCGAAGCTTGACTGCCCTCAGCAATCCGCAGTACTCTAGAAGTCGCTCATGGTGGGCAAATTTCTCGGGCGACATGAAAGTGCAAAAGAGCTCCTCGCGTGAAAGCAATGGCGCTGAGGTGTCAGATGATCGGGCCTCAAAGCGGACAACCATCGTGGATCCAGGTAAGTGGATCTGCGTGACATCCGGGACACGCCAGACCCGGGCCGTGTTGTCGTGCACGAGCGAGCCCTGAGCATCAATGTCCAGCGGAACGGCGGGAGACTCGGGAGCGAATATGGGGCGCTCTACAACAGGGGATTGCGGTGAGCCAGACGGCGCTGCTGGTGCGTCAGACCGCGCTGTCGGTGCGTCAAACCGCGCTGTCGGTGAGCCAGATCGCGCTGCTGGTGCGTCAGACCGCGCTGTCGGTGAGCCAGATCGCGCTGTTGGTGCGTCAAACCGCGCTGCTGGTGCGTCAGACGGCGCTGTCGGTGAGCCAGACCGCGCTGTCGGTGCGTCAAACCGCGCTGCTGGTGCGTCAGATCGCGCTGTTGGTGCGTCAAACCGCGCTGCTGGTGCGTCAGACGGCGCTGTCGGTGAGCCAGACCGCGCTGTCGGTGCGTCAAACCGCGCTGCTGGTGCGTCAGATCGCGCTGTTGGTGCGTCAAACCGCGCTGCTGGTGCGTCAGACGGCGCTGTCGGTGAGCCAGACGGCGCTGCTGGCGAGCGAGACGAAAAGGCCAAACGTTGTAGTCCCCCTGTGTACGAGATGGAGAGCGATTTGCTCGAATTTTGCACCATTAGCGCTGCTGCAGATGCAGCCGCTGCAGCCGCAGCAGAGAAGGATGCGATCGGAGAGGCAGACGAGGACGAGGTCAAGGCCGGAGAGGTCAATGACAGAGAGGTCAAGGACGGAGAGGTCAAGGACGGAGAGGTCAAGGACGGAGAGGTCAAGGACGGAGACGAGGCAGCAGTAGCCAGCGCGGGGGCAGGGGTCGTAGGGAACTGGGATGGACCAGGAGACGTTGCCTGAGAGGTCCACCACGGAATGCTGGACGCGGGCTGTGTTGTGCGAGACGACGAGCTTACATGAAGAGGCGCTCCTGGAAGAGCGGGTTTTTTCAACTGAACCCCACCAGTAAACTTCCCGCTGCCATCACGTGCAAGAGCCAGCGTCGGAACCTGGCCATTGGGTGTGTTTGCTACTGTTGTGGTGAGGGTTGTCGCATTGGTGGGAGATGGGTGTGCATCGACTGAGGCAGTGGAGCGCTCGGCGTTTGCAGCCGGACTATTTTGACTTGGAGTGAGCTGTGCGGGAGAGGACTTGCTGGAGTTGGTGTCATGTTGTTGCTGGGTGGTTCTTGGAAGCTCAGAAGGACTCTGCGGCCTTGAGGTGTCGCTTGTTTTGTTGAGCGGGTCTCGGTGCACAGGCTCTGGTCTTGGTGCCGTGCCGGACGCCGAGCAACTTTGACTCTTCGTCCGCGGGATGCTGCTGCTGCTGCTGCTGCTGCTGCTGCTGCTGCTGCTGCTGCTGCTGCTGCTGCTGCCAGAAAGTCCACCAGGACGTTTCTTACTGTCATCACGTACAGCAGCGGGCATCGGAACCTGGCCATTGGTCGTGCTTGCCCTGGTAGCGTTCGTCAGAGATTGCGTCTCAACTGAGGCGGTGGACCGCTCGACGTTAGCAGTTGGGCTTGGAGTGAGCTGCACGGGAGAGGATGTGCCAGAGTTGGCGTCATGCTGTTGCTGGCGGCTTTTGAGCGGCTCAGAAGGTGGCCGGGGCCTTGAGGTGTGACTCGGCTCTGTGTGCGTAGGCTCTGTATTCTTGGACCGCTCGACGTTTGCAGTTGGACTTGGTGTGAGCTGTACTGACGAAAACATGCTCGAGGTGGTCTGGTGTTGCTGCTGGCGGCTTCTTGCGAGCTCAGAAGGCAACAGGGTGGAGCCCGGGTCGCTGTTCGTCGCCACCTCTGTTCTTGGTGCTACCGGGTCGGGCGCCGAGAAGCCTTGACTCTTTGCACGCGGGATACTTGCAGGAGGAGCAGCAGCAGTAGCAACAGCAGAAGTGGCAGGAGCGGCAGCAGAAGTGGCAGGCGGCTTGGCTCGTGCTGGTGCAGCAGCAGTCACAGCAGACTTGAGCGGGGACGTGGGCTGCTCCAGCCGTGCGGCGGGGTCGGCGGGGCTGTCCCGCGGACCGGATGCCACTGGCCATGCTGCCGCGGGACTTGCTGGACTGGGCGATGACGAGCCAGAGGCCGGCGCCGAGCCTGGCGTTGAGGATGAGCGCGCGAGGTGGGCGAGCCGGGCATGCTCGTCGAAGGTGGAGACGCGCTTGATCTGCCGCGTGGACGTGCTTCGGGGCGTGTTGCACATGCTGCATTTGAACGAGATTGGCTGCAGGAAGGTGCACGACGGGCACGACCACTCGTCGGCCATTCTTTGCGGTCTAGAAGACTGGGATTTGAGCGAGAGACAGCGAGAGAAAGACAGAGAGAGAGAGAGAGGACGTGGCTTGACTCGCAATACACACACACAATGAGACACACTCAGAGACAGATGGATGAGGTGGAGAGAGAGAGAGAGAGAGAGAGAGAGAGATGGGAAGAGAGAGAAAGAGAGAGAGAGAGATGGAGAGAGAGAGGTCACAAGTCTGAATGAACGAGCGCAGGTACGATTCTCAGAGTCGGGCAACAAAAAAGAATGACTAGAGCTTGAAACTACGTTGTTACGTTTGGCGTATGTGTGTCTGTGAGTCTGTTCACTTGTGGACGAGAAGCAGCATTCGCCACCGACCGACGGGCGGTTTTTGTATTGGATTTCCATTGCCATTCTCATACTCTACTCCATCCCCCCGCTCTTCCTCAGTCACTTGTCGATCATTCCCACTTTTGGATTCTCAACTCCAACCTCCAGCTTCACTCTTTGTTTTTTCTCTCGTCTCACAATCCGTCGCCATCGATGTCGCTGTGGAGTCTCCTGTCGCAGTTTGATGACTATGTCGCCACTGAGCTCGCGCCACCCGGGAGCGCCTTCCCCCGCCTGCGCGCTACCAACCCGGACATTTACCCGCACTTGAGGCAGCTGTGGATTGTCCTCCCGATTGCCGTCGCCCTCTTTGTCGCGCGCATCGTCTTTGAGCGGTAACAGCGGGGTCTTTTCAGCCACTTGCTTTGCGCACTCTCTTCCACTCCACTCTCCACTCTCCACTCTCCACTCTCCATCGCATCCATCCATCTATGTATGTGTGTGTTGATGCTTGCTGTTTCCCCTCCATCTCGTGTTTTGGCAGTGTGTGGGTTGCTGATTGTGCTCCTGTCTGTCTGCGTGGCACTCCCAATCTCATCCCACCTAATCTTCTCTCTCACAACCACTCTCTCTCCAGCTCTTTCCCCGTCCCCATAGCAATCCTTGTCATCATCACCCTCCTTCCATCTTTGACTAGTTCGGTCTCGGTCTCGGTCTCGGTCTCGGTTGCTCCTCCCTTTTGCACTGTGTTTGTGTGGTGAATCGCGCCACATTTTACATTTCGTCGTCGTTTTGGCATATGCCTGAGCAGATGTCTCCTCGCTTGTGTTTTTTGTAATCCAGGTCTGAGAAACTTGAATTTATCAATCAATCAATCAATCAATCAATCACGCTTGTAGCGGAGAGATAAACGGAACGATTTGCCGATTGTCTGAAACGAAATGAGATTTGGTGCAGTCTGAGTTGCTGCGACAATCCATCAACCAAACAAACATTTCTCTCTCAAACCCACAGATGTACGACCATGTTCCCTGAATGAAACTTACCCTTGCTATGTCCTCGTTTCGCATGGTTTGATGCTAGATTCTTCATCCGCCCACTCGGTGTCCGCCTCGGCATCTCGACCAAGCCCACCAAGCGCAACGAGCCAAACCCTGCACTCGAGGCCGAGTACAAGAAGAAGAAGCGAATGACCCCCGAGCGCGCTGCAGACCTCACCAAGAAGACCGACAAGACTCCCGAGTACATCATGACCTGGTTCCACCGTCGCCGGAACGCAGACAAGCCCAGCAAGATGGTTCGCTTCCAAGAGGCAGTGTAAGAGCCTCTTTTACTCTCGCTTTGTTGTGGCTGTTGTTGTTGTTGCTCGCATGCTTACATGCCCCCCCCCATGTCGTTCATGCAGGTGGCGCCTCATCTACTATACGACTGCGTTTGTCTGGTCTGTTTACATTCTGTCTGGCGTAAGTTTCCCCCTCCCCCTTGCTATGCATTTCACAAATGTGGGCGGGCCCTGTTGCTCAATTCCTAAATCGCGTCTTCTCTTGATCACAGTACCCCTGGCTGACCGACACCGACTACTGCTGGATTGGCTACCCCGAAAAGCAAACATTGGACCCGACGATCCAGTGGATTTACTTTATCCAACTCGGCTTTTACATGTCGCTGTTGTTCTCGCAGTTCACCGACGTCAAACGCAAGGTAACGCTTGATATTTTTGAATAATTCTCGTTGATGCTCTCCAATCATCAATTCTCACCTGCTTCCCCTTTCCCTTTTCCTTTCTCTTTGCTGCACATGCCATCCATTTAGGACTTTTGGGAAATGTTCATTCACCACGTTGTTACCATCTTCTTGGTTGCATTCTCGTACCACGCCAACTTTATCCGAATCGGCACGCTTGTGCTTCTCGTGCACGACGTGAGCGACATTTTCCTGGAGGGCGCCAAGGCGTTCAACTACCTCAAGTACCAAAAGCTCTGCGACGCCACTTTTGTCGTCTTTGCCATTGTCTTTTTCGTCGCCCGTCTGTTCGTCTACCCCCGTTATGTGCTGAAGAGCGCTTTCTGGGACGTTCGCGCCCTGCTCAACACTGAGCCCTTCTTTGGATTGTGGTTTTTCAACATTCTGCTGTGGATCCTGCAAGCCCTCCACGTCATGTGGTTTATCACGATTTTCAAGATGGTGATCAGCTTTGCTTCCAAGGGCGAGGTCTCTGGCGATGACCGCAGTGACTCTGAGGCCGAAGAGGAGGACGACACGGCCCACCCCGCTGCGCCAGCGCCCGTTAAGGCCATCCCGGCAGCCAAGCCCGTCAAGCATTAATGGATTGTTGTCCGAGACCCCCCCCATCTCCCCTGGGTGTTTGCTTTTTTGATTGCGTGAGTAGTTGTTGTTGCTACTGCCATTTCTCTTCGTCTCTCTGCTTGGAACACGTTGCTTGTGCCGTCTTTCTTCTCCCTTTTCTTGTTTGCCGTTTCTTGTTTCTTTCCCACGTTTTTTTTTTCGTTTTTGCGTGAATGTCATTCTGTATTTGGGCGTCATTCGAAATCCAAAATCACTTTGACACGCTTAATTTTTTTTGGGAAGATCAACAACGATGGCTGGCAACACGGGTTGGTAGCGATGTGTGCAAGTCGAGGCATTCGCGTACAATATGCCAAATTCGTCACGCGTCAGGCCCGCACCCTCGTGTATGTGGCCAGAGACGTGCAGTTTTGGCTTGATGCGCGATTGAATCGCCTCGAGCAAGTCGGCGCATCCCGCATAGTTGCCACCGGTCGTGCGATCGCCATACCCAACCGGGGGACCGTGTGTGATCAAAATGTCGACATTGTTCGGAATCAAGTCCCACTTTGCGCGAATGGGCGCGCCTCGTTCCAGATTGAATCCCCAGCCGAAAAAGTACGGCGTCCTGCAACAAATTCAGAAAGGAGGAAGAATCCAGCTCGCTCAAAGTCAACAAAAGAAAAGGCTTTTCCAACATTCACTCCTCGAAGCACACGACACTCGCTCTGATACGCACCATGGTGACCCGTAAATGCGAAACCCCTCGACCTCAACCAGCGCATCCTCGAGATAGATGCAATTGGTGAGGAGCGCTTTGAGCTGTGCCGGCGTTTCCGTGTCCTTGCACCGAAACTGCTCCCTGAGCTCTTCAATATTGCTCTCGTCGAGCGTCAGGTCGTGATTACCCGCAATGACCACCTTGTGCTTGTGTGGCTGCCGACCGAGAAACTCGTTGAACTTGACAATGTCGGCCTTCGAGCCCTTGTTGCTGAAATCGCCGGCGTGAACCAGCAAATCGCCGTCCGGCACGACGAGCTTGTCCGTCAGCGAGTGCGTGTCGGATATGCACACGACTCGGAAGAACCCTTCTGGCTTGGCGACGGCGGCTGCGTCAACCGGCTCGACCGTCTCGACCGTATGCGTGTGCTTGACCGATTCCCAGTACGCGTCGGCGCTGCCAGTCTGCACAGCCATCCAGCAACAAAACAAAAATTTCGCAAGTCCAAATTTTCAATCAGCCCCAATGCACGACAATGTCAAGCAAATCATCAAGCAATAGCTCAAGCTGGATCGCGGCCGTGAAGGCTCACTCATGCAATTCACTGAAATCCATGACGTCAAAGCATGTCATCGTCGTGCACCCAAACTCGCGGACATGGGAATAACAACAAAAAGCAACCTCAAAGGTATCCGCGCTTACAGCAGTTGACAGCTCATGGCGTGTGGCGGTGGTTGCTGCTGAGCTGATATTGTTGGTGACGACTGGTTTGAGTTTGCTGCGAATGGCGTTCAGCATTTGGATTTGGTTGTGTTTGTCAATATCAACAGAGACGAGAATAAAAGACTGAGATGGCTGGAAGAGTGCGGGTAAATCAAGGAAAATTTGAGGTCAAATAACAATGAGTGAGAAAAGGAGGTCGGCAAGGAAAATTTGAGGTCAAATAACAATGAGTGAGAAAAGGAGGTCCAAACAGACTCTCAGCGCTCCAGTCGCAGTATCGCCGCACAGACAATGGAATAAACGTGTTAAATTACAAGAGGAATAAATACCACAAAGACAAGGACAATGGAACAAAAAAAAAGAGCGCGTTACGGCGATCCTCCGGCTTCGACCCATCGTCGAAACTCGACATCCTTCTGGTCGGCCCAGCGCCGACTCGCCTGCCGCTTTTTCAGGTACAACTGCTCGAGGATGGAGCAGAATGCATCACCGTGCTGCGATACGTCGTGCCACACAAATCGCCCCCAAACAGCTGCCATCGCTCTGCGTCGCCGAACAACGTCTTGGTGCGAAATGCTCTGTAGCGTCGACAAAAGATCTGCAGCAACACGGGCAGGCGGAATGCGCACAATAAACGCGTCATAGTCAATGAGGCTTTCGAATGGGAGCGCCAGGTCGTCAGAGATGAGCACGGGGATGCATCCCGAGAGAATCGCTTCAAAAACGCGCGGCGTCCAGGCGTGCCATCCTTCGGGGCACAGGCAAAATGTCGACGAGCGAAGTGCCTTTTCGTAGCCACTCGACCGAATGCCGAGAATGCGAAAGTCCGGGTGCTTGCTGAAGGTTTCTTTCAGGTAGGGCCGAACGCCTCGGGAGTGGCATGATCCTCGAGCATCGTTCACAAAGCAGGGCAGTTTGGTCCCGCCAAAGCATGCCAATGTCGGTCTTTGGCCCGTCAAAATGACCTCGAGCTCGTCAACAGACTTGTTGGCGTAAATTGGCGTTGGGACGTAGTGCGTCAATCGCGGCGGAATCGTCACATCCTTTGCCAGCGTAAACTCGGCCGCGGACAGCTGGCCATTCGCGGTCAGGAAGACTGCGTTCTTGATTCTTGAATAGTCTCCAAACAGCTTGGCGCCGTGGCCTTGGGAGAAAAGCCACAAGTGGTCCTGGGCGAACGCGGGGAATGGCGGGTACTCGCCCCGCGTCGCCACCTGCTCAATGGTGCCGAGACTGTTCCAGTCAGGACTGTACGGGTCGTAGCGCCACGGCAGCGTGTCCCGCGGGATGCTCCCATGGGAGGTGATCCAGTCCAGCGCGGCGCTGAACAGCTCGGCGCTCGCGTTCGGCTGCACCGCCATCCGGTTGAAGCCGTGGCATGTCCCATACACGGGGACATAGTAGTAGTCTGCGTCGCGCGGGTTGAGCGTCCGCAGCGGACTGTCGAGCAGCAACTGGTGGAACGCCCACTCGCTCGAGTAAAAGCTCGTCGTGCAGACCGGATCGCGCATGTCGGGCGGATGCGCCAGGTTGTGCTCAATCACACGCGTGTTGAACTCTGCAGGAAGCGGATAGACAAAGATTCGCAGCGAGCGCGGCGCACTGGCTGAGAGCGGGGTGCACTGGAACGGCGCCACACCCTGTTCTGAGTAAATTCGCATGGTGGTGGTGGTCGGTGTGTCTATGGCAGGTGCTCCTTCTAATAATGTGAGCCGCCATCCACTGCCTATCGCAAGTGCGAGGATGACCAGAATCCCAATGCAAAGTGCAGCAGCAACGGCGATGGTTGGTCGCCGACACCGCCGGAGCATCATTTATGAAGGACTGGACTGGCGGGCTTTTTGTCCATTGTACGAGACGACAGGTGCCTTGGCTCGCTTCGTATTCCAGTACCATGAAAATGCGATGTCTCGGCATTTAGAGCAGGCGAGTGGCGGTTGGAAAATGAAATGGACGTGACAAAACGCTGATCAGAGAAAAGACGTACAGTATGGGAAAAAAGCACTCATCACGAGTGAATAAACTTAAGCAACAACAACGACAGTAAACAGCGGTCAAAGTGAGAGGAGGAAAGGCTATCGTGGCAAAACTGCTTGCGCTGTGGTACGAACGGCCTTGAAGGTGAATCTTCCCAGAATCTTGAGCCCGACCGATCCACCGGGTACAAAGCTAATAACATACCTGCAGACATGACATTGGCACCAGCGACAACAACAACAACAACACGATCGTCGCGAAACAATCAGCCAAACTGCAGAAAACGCTTGAAACAAATTCACACGCATGAAGCTCACCAGACAAGGGCGGCAACTTGAAGCCCAGCAAACACAATCGTGTAAATGAAGCTCTGCCATATCAGGGCGCTGTAGATGGTAATGAAGAGCGTGAAAAAGTAAAAGGCGGTGAACGGCGCGCGTTCGGACGCTATTAGTCTCCGTGATTGTGTGACCGGTCCCACGAGGATAAAGAAGCTGTAAAATCAGCAGAGGAATGAGCACGGAATGAACGACAGACGGAAATTGGGGACGTGAGTCACCGCACGATTGTTTGAAGCAAATCCGCATTTGTATCCGACATATACCTTGTCAAAACGAATACGCTGCCGAGCGAAAACATGAGCGCAAACTGCCGGGCTTTGAGGATGAGCATTGGAGTGTACAGGAATGACTGTTGTAGGAAAGCGGCAATGTTAGGAAAACAGCAATGCGACAGTAGCCAGCCGATCAAAGTGATCACAGCAGCTCTGCTCAACAAGCTCTCCAAGACGACATCAAAATCGAGCTTGCTCTTACAAGGGCAAAGCAGAATGCACCTGCAGCGAGGAAGAGTACAAATCCGATGGCTCGTTGCGTTCGTGAGAGTTCCATGCACTGCGATGAACACAACGATAGAGGTGAGGACCTCATAAGCGATATAAACCATCGTGTCATGCTTGTTTTTTCTCAGAAGCATCTAACAAAAGTCTCCAAAACTCAGAAATCTGATTGTTCTGAGAAAACGTGAACGTACCGACTCGTTGCTTCCGCCGTAGAGCGCCGAGTTGCCCAGCACGAACGAGGCGTCATCGTTGCTTGCACTCGATGCATTGCTGCCAGTGCTAGTACCATTGCCGCTCTGTGTGGACGTGGCTGACGCGCCATTGTTGCTGCCGCCAAAGACCATTGCGCTGAGCTGCCCTGCAAACCCACTGCTGCTGCTGCTGCTGTTGCCGTCCATTGGGATTGCGACGGACATGTGGCTGGCATTGCCTTTGGCTGCTGATGGAGTGTAGCCGCTCCCGCTGAACGCCGACAGCGATGCGAGCCCAGCGAACGCGTCACTTCGACTTCCTCCCGCTGCTGCTCCTCCTCCTCCTCCGACTGCACTGCCACTCATCATTCAATATACGAGACTGGAGTTGTTGATCAGTTTGAAACAGTTGAGATTGTTCGTTGAACTGAGAAAATAACAAAAAACACAAAAAGAAGGATTGGGCTTTTCTCAGACTGTCTGATCTTCCACTTCAATTTGAAACAACCTTATTCACTCTATATTTGCTTCATTTATTCCTTACACACGGTTGGAAGCACGCTTTTTTGTTCGCAGATGCTGAGAAGGGTCGCCAAGCTGCTGCACCACCTGCGGCTGACGCGTCGCGCGGTGCTTCTGACTGCGCTGCTGTCGTGCGCGGTCACTGCGGCTGCGTGCTGGATGCTGATGTGCAGAGACGGCATCCTGCCACGGCCGCCGGCGCCCGGCATCACCATCCTGGAGAGCGGCAGTGTTGTAACGCACGGCTTTGTGGACTTGGACGGCGCGAACGCAGTCCCACTGCGGCTGATTCCACCCAGCGAGCACGCAGCACTCCGACTTCAGCAACGAGCAGCGCCCGATGATGGTAGCGGTGGTGCTGCTGCTGCGGGGTGCATGGGCGAGGACGCGGCCGAGTGGTCGGTCAGCGTCGCGTGGAACCGCGCGCCACAGGCCGCAGCCACACGATGCCCAGCCACGCTGCCAGTCATCTACGCAATCACGGTCGTCAAGGACACGCCTGCAATGAAGGCCGATCTGGTCCGCCTGGCAAACACGCTGCGCCAGGTGCCCGCGCTGCACTGGGTCGTCGTCGACTGCGCTTCAAAGCCGCTCGCGCGCGTCTCGCACGTCCTGCGCGACTCGGGCATGGACGGCGCGTACTCGCATCTGGCCATTACAGGCTGCAGCTCGGATCTCATCCGCCAGCGCAGCCTCGCGATCGGGTACATTGAGCGAGAGCTCTTTCGCCGGCCACTGCGGATAGCGGGGGGTCTCGTCGTGGACTACAAGCCATACATTGCCCAGGACATGCCGCCAGTCAACCGAAGATGCATCCAGCACGCAACGCCATCGGGCGTCGTGTTCTTTGCAGACATGGAGTACGTCTACAGTCTGGCGCTATTCCGCGAGATGCGGTTTACCAAACACGCGTCCGTCTGGCCGGTTGGGTTTGCGGATGGCTTGAGTTACGAGGGCCCCGTCGTCGATCCCGACTCGCGGCGTATCATTGCCTGGCGCACGACTGCGGAGCAGACCGCAGTGCTGCCACTCCCTGTCGTGGGCTTTGCTATGAACATTGCACTTGTTCTTTCGGCCAAAGAAACACTCATGTGGCAGTCCCAACTCAACCCTCTGCGACCCCTTTCAGACATGGTTGCTTCGTGCGTCAACCTCAACCTCACTCTGCTCGAACCACAGGCCAGGCTCGGCCGAGATATACTCGTCTGGAACCTGCTCACCGAGGAGCCCAGTTTACGATACGAGCCCAAGTCGGACTTGAAACGGTTTGAAGCGTAAAGTCCATGCTTCTAGTCGAGTGAGGCAGTCCACTCTCTGCCGAGCGCTGGGCGTTTTTCGTGTTGGAGAGAAAGAGATTTCGTTTTATGGTGTTTTGTTGTTTGTTGGTTTGTTTATTTTCCGGTTTTTTTTTTCTTTGTGAGCGCGCTATTTCACTTGTAGTGTGGTGCATGCGAGTCATCAATCAGAGCAATTCAATTTTTAACAACAAAGTCAAAAAAAGTCAACACAAAGTCTTAGTCCTCAGTCTTCTTTGTTTCGAGTTTCAAGTTTCAACGCCAACGTTGTTTGTTTTTGGTTTTTGAACGCCGTTTTCCATTCAATTCAACAATGAACATTTACGTCAACTCGCCCGTGTGCTCGGCCGGTCCTGATCCCACGTCAATCCTCGCCGTGTCTGCATCGCACTGTCCTCGCCTTGGCGGCCCTGCGGCGGCTGCAGCCATGGTCGTGGGAACGCTCGGACGCGTCACCTTCCTTTCCTTTTCGGCCACTGCGGGGCTCACCTGCGCCCTCGGAGGCATCTACCTCACGGCCAACCCGGTCTATGTCATGTCGCGCGTGTTTGAGCTGCGCAAGCGAGGCATTGCTGCAGCTGCGGCGGCGGCTGCCGGGCAGGACGATGATGACGCCAGAGTTTCAGAATCCGCCAAGACAATCGAAGCGAACTCGACCGCGCTCGGCATCCAGCTTGTCCACGCCGCAGGGTCAGTCCCTTCCCACCATCCGACTCTTCTAAATTTTCTATACTTTTACAGAATTCGACGCTTGTGTGGCTTTGGAGTGATGGGGCGGGTTTTGGAGTGAGGCAGCAAAAAAGCAAGAGCAAACAGCCAAATAGATTTGTCTTGGCGGCAAGGTTTGGCTGCGTTTGCAATGACACAGTCTAAGAATTTTCATCCACCTTTTGCCAAGACTCGCCTGTGAACACTCATCTCGACATTTACTCACTGTTTGCAAAAAATGATGAACTGCCCTTGTTGACAGATTGTCCATGACAGCGACAGGCCTCATTCTGCTGCACGCAGTGTTTTCCGAGGGCGCATCCAACCGTGTCATGTGGACGACCATCTGGAGTCTGTTCCCAATGGCGTCCCTGCTGCCAGTGTACATGCAACTCAAACAAGCTTGAAACCAGGTGCGGGTTGCAACCAAACCATTTTGTAGACAAAAAAAAAAAAAGTTCTTGTACAAAGTAAAACCAGAAACTTCAGAATACAGATAGCAGCAGAAACAAAAAAGCAGCAATTAAACAAAAATTCAAACCAAGACGGTAACATGTCAAAAAAAAAAAGGGCAGCCAAGGCGTTACTGCAGGGAAAGATTTTGCCGCAGTTTGACAAGCGCCTGGTCGAGATCTGCGACATCTTGCTCGGCGCCATCCAGTGCACCGAGTTGGGTCAACACCCAATCAACGTTCTCGGGAATCTCCAGGCTGATCGACGCGTAGCCGAAAGCCAGGAGTGCGTCCCGGTTGCCTGGTGCGCAGTCCATCAATCTGTGTTGTGTTGCAGAAAGAGATGAATCGGCAACGCAAACCGTACCAAGATTGTGAGACAACTTTGGCACCTGCAGTAACCGATTCAATCCAACACCCTAGCCCCAGCCCCACCGCGATCGCCCCCCCCCCTCCCAAAAAAAAAAAGAAACAAATACATCGAAAACGCTCAAAACAAACCTTGAAATCACAGTCGCAAGCCGCTCGTAATCATCTCGCTGAGCCGAAACATCGGCCAGATGAACGAGCACACTGACAGGGCACGTGCCAAGGGCGGTGCCATGGTGCGACTCTTGCTCGATCGTCGTTTCCAGCGCTGCCAAGAAACCGTCGCTGGCCTCGTCGTACTCTTCCAAGCTCTGTTGGGCAAGGCCAAGCAGCTCGTAGATTTCGGGGTCGTCTTCATTCCGCCGGCGAGCTCGCTCGAGGTATTTGGCGGCGTCCTTGTAGCGACCGAGCAGGAACAGGGCGCGACCCATGCCCGCCAGCGCCGCGCTGCTCTTGGGAGCGCTCTGCGTGAGCTTTTCGAACAAGCCAACCGCGCGCTCCAATAGCGCGTCTTGCGGGTTGTACTGATGCGCTTTTTGGGCCCGCTGTGACAGCGAGACATCTGCCGCCAACACGATGGACGGGTAGTGGTGCCCCGTCCTGACATTGACGTTCGGCTGGTCCGAGGCGCCCGCCTGGTGGGTTTCAAACTGTGTCACAAGGCGCGTACCTTCGACCAGCCGTTGCGCAAACTTGGTCATGCCGTCGGGGAGGATGGCATCCAGTTGGCGACGAAGATTACCGGAAGCGTCGAGCTGCTCAAAGGTGCGCTGACCTCGGAGCGCAATTGCACTCCGCTCGCTCGCTGCATCCGGGGCGTCGACGAGCAAGCTTGCTGTCAAATCGACGAGCTCGCTGGCGGTTTCAAAGACCACCAAGCCGCCGGCGTCGGCCAGGAAGCGCACCAACGACTTGTCCGTCACGACGCCGCGAGCGAGCTTTGAGGCCTGCGTGCGCGATGGGATGGCGTCGGAAAAGGGGTCGTCCGAATCGCTGCTGCCAGAGCCGCGGTGGTCGTCGGAGGCCTCGGTGAGGCCTTCGATCAGGATGCACACTCTGTTCTCCAAGGCCAGGTTGATGGTGGCCCAGTCGGGTGCCACACCGGCCGCCTCGTCGTCCAGATTCAGTTCATCGGGAATGTCGTCGGTAGCGCCCTCTCCGGCGTCGGATTGATCATAGGCGTGGCTGTGATCATGCTGATGATCGTTCTCGTCGTTGTAGGATGCTGTGGATGCGGCCTCTTCGCTCGAGTGCAGCATGATGACGGCCTTGGCGCGGGCAATGAGCACGTCTCGCTCGCGCATTGTCAGTCCGCGCTCGTGGCTGCCGTCCAGCGCCATGACATTGATGCCCTGCTGTTGGACGAGGGTGAGCAGCTCGCGCGCGCGTGAAGAGATTTTGCCGAGGAAGAGCAGATCGACGTCCTTGGTCAGCGAGGCCATTGGCACAAGACCGCGGTACTCGCGGTTGAGCCACGGTGCAAAGGACAGCGCCACATGCTCGACGGGGCTGGTCAGTCCGACGCTTGCCAGGCGCTGCGCGTTGATGGACGACGCGTCCCAAACGCATCGGTCTTGCAGCAGCTCAATGTACTCTGGGGTGATGTTTTCGTCGCCCTCCGAGTCCACAAGCTCGAGATTGAAGAGGATGGCCTCGTCGAGCACTTGCTTGACAATGGCAACGTCCGACTGCGGGAATTGGGCGCGATTGAACAAGTGGTGTGCAGCGAGGACGATAAACTGCCGCTCGCGCGCCAGCTTGAGATCAAACCGCGATGTCAGAATCACGTCATGGCCCAGTGTGCGCAGCTGGTGCACCAGCATTTGCGCCGCGTCAATATAACGCAGCGGAACGGCGGCCAAGAGCGAGTCGGTGTCCTCCGGCGCTGCCCACGACAACGACGATGACGACGATGCGTCCGACGCGTTCATCGACTGAGCATTGCTGCTGCTGCTGCTGCTGCTCGCGTCAGCTTGCTCGTCCTTGTTGCTCGCTGCAGACTTGAGTGGCGGGAGTGGGAAGATGCCATCGGGCGAGAGCACCGCCACAGCGAACTTTGCCTGGCGCAGCTTGAGCCCAGCGCCCGCAGAGCCAGCAGAGCCACTACTACTTGCGCCAGGAGTGCCTGCGAGTGGAGGCCCGCGCTTCTTGGTGGCGGCAGCGGCGGCGGCGGCTGCTGCAGCCTGGTCGCCCTTGGTGCTGGTCAGCTCGCTCTGGCGGGCGCGTGCGAGGAGGACTCGTCCACAGGGCGACGACGACGATGATGATGATGGTGCATCGTCTGACGATGAGGTTGCTGATGCGGTTGCTAGCAGGAGCGCGACCAGCAGCAGCCGCATTATGAGAGTGAGTGACAGTTAGAGAAAGAGAGAGAGAGAGAGAGAGAGAGAAAGAGTAAGACTGCATCTGAGAGTTCTGAGATTGCTGAGATTGTCCAAATGCAATAATACAAACAAAACAAAAGGGGGTTGGAGAGTGAGTGATTGCAGTGGAACTGAGCGAATGAGAGCAACCAGACATCTGCGGTCCTCATGCAGCTCAAGCACAAAGCTGCCACAACCGATTCTATTCGACAGGAGCTGTCGATCCTTTGTTTTCCGTCGCTGATTCGTACATGTTCCAGTCGTGAAGTGGTTGCAGTAGTGGAACTGAAGCGTTTTTTGGTTGTTGTGACTTGAAACGGACTTTCCAATGCGTCATGATCCCAAGCGCAATCCTCAGTTTGGTGGATGGATGGTTGGGTGATGGATGAATAAATTGTGAGCTTGCTTTTTGTGCCAAATCGGTTTTTTTCTGAGCAAGTCCAGTCTCAGTTTTTCATTTTCTTCCCTTCTTCCCTTCTTCCCTTCTTCCTCTTCTTCCCTTCTCCTTCTCCATCCTTACCTCTTCTTCTTCTTCTTTCTTTCTGCTTGCTTCTTTATTTTCGCTGATCATCTCCCCAATGTTTGCACGCTACGCTCGTCGCGCGCTCAACCTTGGTGCTGTTGCGGCGGCTGCGACTGCGACTGGTCTTGCGCTCTACAACTCTGACTTTAACCGAGTGAGTATTCAACATGAAGCGTCTCGGCATCCGACCGAACTCGCCATGCTGTAGTGAGCGAGTGAGAGAGAGTGACTAAGAGCGAGAACGTGCTCGTTGATCCAGCCGCTCTTCTCGTTGTTTTTCGTTTCTGTTGATGCACCACGCCCATCATCATCATCATCATCATCGTAATCGTCATCGTAATCGTCAGTCGAGTGAACGCTGAGTGAAGGATGAGCAATGCAAAGTAAGAAGAACGAAGTGAAGGAAAGCAAGCTTATAAAAATCGACCCGCGGCACTTTCTTCCTTTCTTCCTTCTTCCTTCTTCATTTCGATTCTCGCTCAGCACCGCTGCACCCACACAAACACAAACACAAACACAAACACAAAGCACGCGCTTTCATCTTTCATCTACTTTATTCTGGCGCTTCGTTGCAATCAAAAAGAGGGGAAATGGCAAAGTGTGAGGCGCTGCTGCTTCTGCTGCTGCGTTTTCATTCGCTCACTGCACTCGCGATGACCAACCCCAACCTCCCCCTATCACCCTTCATCCCCTTCATCCCCTTATACCCACTCGGCTTACTCACTTCATTCATGCAAGATTCGCTGGAACGGTGAAAGTGACAACCGAGTTCGCTCCTTCCCCCCTCCACTCGGTGAAAGTGACAACCGAGTTCGCTCCTTCCCTCCTCCACTCGCTTTAAGACCCTACCTTCACTCACACTCACACACTCACTCACACACACACTGACCTGACATTTACTATACTACACTATTGACAAACACTTGACTCGGTTGTTGTCTCCATTCACAACACCCGGGGCTCAAATGCACTTTGCTCTCAGTCTCTCAGTCTCACATCTCACTTCACTGCGAATCTCACTTTACTTCACTCCACTTCACTTCACTTCACTTCAACTCACTTGATCGTGCTCGTGATTTAATCAATTCTGTAGACCAAGCAGGCACTCGCAGAGACAGCTGTCCTCCGATCGACCGAGCTTCCCACGCGGTAATACATTCGCACAGCCCACAAATTGGACCCCAAACCAAACCACACTCGTCGGCCAACCATCGATCAAGTCACATTGGACGCTGCGACTTTCATCAATGGCGCTCCTTTTTGTGTTCTGAATCCGACGGTTGGCTGGGCTGTGTCGCAGCATCCCCGTGTCGCACTCACTTTTGAAACCAAACCCTTCCTCACCCCGATTCTGCGATTCTGCCGTTTTACACCAAATTGTAGCGCGCAGCAGCTCAAGTCGTTGCGCGAAACCAAGCAATTCGACGTCCTCATCATTGGCGCCGGTGCAACTGGTGCTGGCGTTGCTCTCGACGCAGTCACTCGCGGTAAAGTGGGGGGGATTCCTTTTTTGTCGTGTCGCAGCGCTTCAGTTTTCCCAACTTGTACTAACCGACACCTCCTCCACCTCCACCACTTACTCAGGCCTCTCAACTGCCCTTGTTGAACGCGACGACTTTTCCAGCGGCACCAGCAGCCGCAGCACCAAGCTGATTCACGGCGGTGTGCGCTACCTGCAAAAGGCCGTCTTCAACCTCGACTATGAGCAGTTCAAGCTCGTCAAGGAGGCGCTGCACGAGCGTGCCAACCTTCTCGAAATCGCCCCGCACCTCTCCGGACCTCTGCCAATCATGCTGCCCGTCTACAAGCTGTGGCAGCTCCCGTACTTCTGGTCGGGCATCAAAATGTACGACCTCATCGCCGGCACCGCTAACGTCAAAACCTCCTACGTCCTCTCCCCCGAAAAGACTTTGGAAGCCTTCCCCATGCTCAAGCGTGAGGATTTGGTCGGCTCCATTGTTTACTACGACGGTACATTTCGCGGTGGTTTGTTTTTGTTTTGCCAAGTGGAAAGCGAGTGAACAAGCGCAGCTCACTCTCGTTCCTGCACCTCTTTACTTCACTCCAGGCCAACACAACGACGCTCGCATGAACATTTCCATCGCACTGACTGCCGCGGAGCGCGGAGCCACCGTTGCCAACCACGTTGAAGTCCAGTCGCTGCTCAAGGAGATTGATCCGTCTACTGGCAAGGAGCGCGTGTGCGGCGCCACCGTCCGCGACACCATCACCGGAGACAGCTGGGATGTTCGTGCCAAGGTATGAAAGTTTTGTTGTGGCTGTGGTTGTCGGAGTTGGAGCGTTTGACTCACGTTGCTCATTCATCTTGGTTGATTCCGTCGCTAGTGTGTCATCAACGCTACCGGTCCTTTCTGCGGTACGTTTGCTCCACACGATTGACAGACATTTCGTCCTCGTCTTGTCGTACCTTTTCCACTCACGCAACACGCAATGCTCACAGATGCCATTCGCAAGATGGACAACCCGAAGGTTATGGACATTGTTCAGCCAAGCTCTGGCGTTCACATTGTGCTCCCGAACTACTACAGGTGAGAGGCATGCGTTTTTGCTCGCTTGTTTTGGATGGTTTTGTTTTTTTGTTCAACATCCCACTTTGCTAACCGATTGCTTCTCTTACTCTACTACTACACAGCCCCCGCGGAATGGGCCTGCTCGACCCCGCCACCAGCGACGGACGCGTCATCTTCTTCCTGCCCTGGCAGAACATGACGATTGCCGGAACCACGGACGCCCCCACCAAGGTCAGCGCCAACCCGATGCCGACGGAGGAGGAAATCGACTTTATCCTGAACGAAGTTCGTCACTACCTGAGCCCCGACGTGCAGGTGCGCCGCGGCGATGTCCTTGCCGCGTGGAGCGGCATTCGCCCGCTTGTCTCCGATCCCGACTCGGCCAACACGCAATCGATCGTCCGCAACCACCTCGTCCATGTCAGCGACTCCAAGCTCGTCACCATCTCGGGCGGCAAGTGGACGACCTACCGCACCATGGCCATCGACACTGTGGACGCCGCCATCGCCGCCTGCAACCTCAAGCCCGAGCGCGGCTGCCAGACGGACGGCCTGATGCTCATGGGCGGCGCTGGCTACACCCCGACCATGTTTATTCGCCTGGTTCAAGACTACGGACTCGACGTTGAAGTTGCCCAGCACCTGGCCAACACGTACGGCGATCGCGCCGGCGAGGTGGCGCTGCTTGCCACCATCACTGGCCGCCGCTGGCCGGTCGTGGGTCGCCGTCTTGCCGAGGAGTACCCGTACATTGAGGCGGAGGTTCGCTACGCCATCCGCGAGTATGCTTGCACGGCCGTGGACGTCCTGGCGCGCCGCACCCGCCTGGCCTTCTTGAACGTGCAGGCCGCGCTGCAGGCCTTGCCGTCGGTCATCCAGATCATGTCCAAGGAGCTCAACTGGACTGAGGAGCAGTGCGCCGCCGAGAAGGCCGACGCTGAAGCCTTCCTGCAGACCATGGGCCTTGCCGCCAACACGTCTGCGCGCTCCACCAAGGTGCCCGTCAAGTTCAACCAGGGCGAGATTTCCGAGCTGCGTCGCGAGTTTGACCGCTTTGATCTGGCCGGCACCGGCCACATCAGCGCGATCGAGCTGCGCAAGGTTCTCGACTCGATGGGCGAGGAGGTCTCTGAAAACCAGCTGCACGAGCTCATCTCCGAGGTCGACTTCAACCAGAACAGCACGATCGAGTTTGACGAGTTTTTGCAGCTCATGTCTGCCCTCCGCACTGGCGCCGTTTCCAACAGCCGTCTCGCCACGATTTTCGACAAGGGCTCGAATCTTGCCAACCGCATTCCCGTGCATCGCAGCGGCGGTGGTGTGTAACAGCAGAGAGGGAGGTGGTTTTGTCCTATTTTTGTTGTTTTCTGTCCAACCTCGAGCAATCATACACTTTTTCGTCGACCATTACAGTACTGTACTTCCAGCCTAACAGTACAACAGTAGACCAAATGCATGTGATGCACTTCAGACCAGTCTCATTTGCTCTTGCTTGCTTGTCTGAGCCGTCTCTTTTGCACAGCCAAATCCCCTGCCCCCCCTTCCTCGGCACCCAGTCTGGTCCCTTGTCGTCCTTGCGCTATTTAGCTCTCTTTTCCCGTTTCCTCTGATGGAATGGCGCTGAATGAGCTGACCGACCTCCTCGTCCAGGCGCCAGTGAGCTTGCTCGTGCTCGTCGTCCCGGCGCTGCTCCCGCCGTCCTGGCGCCCGCAGTCCCTCGACGCCGACCATGTCAAGGGCGCCATGCCTGCCAGCACCCACGGACAGAGCCTCTGGAGCACCCTCTTCTCCCGCTCCGGCGGTGGTGCCAGCTCAGTCCTCCTCGGCGGCACGTCATCATCCTTGTCGTCGTCGTCGTCGTCGTACTCGGCCTATGACGCACTGCCCGAGCTCGGCGACCCCAACGAGCCGTTCGTCGCAGTCCTGCTGAGTGGCATTGCGTTCGTCGGCCTGCTGCTGCTGCTCGCTGGCCATCGCTTCTTCAGCCAGTTTGTGTTTGGCGTCGCGTTCGTCGCCGCGTTCGCAACGCTGGCCAAGCTCGACTCGGCGTCGGATGGCGCTGGGACGATCCTGCCAAACATTGCCGCTGCACTGGTGGTCGCAATGGCCACGCTGTTCACCTACCGCGTCGTGTGCACGCGCATGGCCACGATCGTCGGAGCGGGTCTCGGACTGGTCCTCGCCTGCTTTGTCTATGTCGGCACTGTGGTCGTGCTGTCCACACTCGGTGGATCGGCGTTGATGAACTTTCAGCTGCATTGCGTCCCGGCAGTGGCCGCACTCGAGCCCTTCACGAACGGCATCTTTGGCGCAATCACTGCGATTCTGGAAGGGTTTGTCGCAACCTCCGTGGGCCCGGACGCGGATGCCGGCCGCGGCCTCTCGGACAAGGCGCACAGTGCATCGTCTTATCGGAGTGCGGCGCGTGCGACGACTTCTCCTTCGTCCTCCTCGGATGGCTCGTGGTGGCCGTTCTCTGGGTTTTTTGGTGGACATGTGCCGCCTGCTGCGCCCCAGATGCAAATCACGTACGCTTCGCTCATTGTGCTGCTCGCGCTGATTGTTTCCATCAGTGTTGGCAGGCTTGTGGCCAAATCACTGCACGAGTCGTTTATCGTCCGTCTGATTCCAACCTGGGTGGACAAGTGCTTTGCGCCCGTGCGCTTCATCTCGTACATTGTCGGCTTTCTGACGTATGCGATTCTAACGCACGTGACGCACGTCTATCTCGACGCCAGCGACAGCAGTGCGTTTGTTCTCGACGTCGATCCGACCGACATTTTCCATCCGCTCCTCGTCCCGCTGACCCTCACACTCAAACCCTGGCGGCTGGCACAGCTTCTTGCCGTCCCAGTCATTTCTGCTGGGTTTGTTCACGGATTTAGCATTGCCGCGAGCTTGCTCTGGCAGCTGGAAATGCTCGTCAGCTCTGCTGTTGGCGCCTCGATGCTCTTTGCGCTTCCGCGACTGGTCAAGGTGGAGGAACCCGTGTCGGGCTCGCTTGTGATTTGGTTTTTGCTGGTTATTCTCGGCGCGACCGTCCAGAACACGCACGCCGGTGCTGAGGGCGATGTTCGGCCTCCGCCCACCCCATCCAGCGCTCGCAGTCCCTCCAGCGGCAGCAGCAGCGCGTTTTTCATTGAGCGACCGGGGTCAAGAAGCTCTCCGACTGTATTCTTCCGCGAGACTGCTTACTTGGACGACTGAAAAACAAAAAGGGGGGTTCGTGTTGTTGTTGTTGTTGTTGTTGTTGTTGTTATGCATGGCATGTTAGAATTTTGTTGTGAAATACAGTATCAAATCTCAGAGAAGTTCCGCTCAGCTCAGCTCAGTTCTTTTTTATTTTCTTTCATATCTTGTTTCTCAGTCAACAACAACAAAAAGGGGTGTGGAGAAGGGAACCAAAAACACAAACCAGCACACACAGACACACACACACACGCACATAAATGTCGTCCGATCGCCGTGGCTCGGTCATCTCGACCACGTCGACGGGCAGCGGCGCCGTCGGCCCGCGGTCCCAATCCGCAATAGCAGGAGCAACCGCTGGCTATCGAGCGTCGCGCAAAAACTCAATCGCGCCGTGAGTCTTCCCCCCGTTGATGTTTTCCGCTTGGTCTTGTATTAGCACTTGCATTGCATTGCATTTGGGGGGGTTGGTGGTTTGAGAGAGGGAGGGGGTTGTGAGTTGTATGGCTGGCAGCCTCGTGTGATGGGAACGAAGACGAGAAGGGATTTGCTCGCTGCCCCAGCTCTCGTCCCACCGCGCGCGCGCTCTGGTGCTTGTCGTTGCTCAGGCACAACGACACAGAAGAGAGAGAGAGAGAGAGAGAGAGAGAGAGAGAGAGAGAGAGAGAGAGAGAGAGAGAGAGAGAGAGAGAGAGAGAGAGAGAGAGAGAGAGAGAGAGAGAGAGAGCATCGGTGACGTTGAATGGGCGGCAGGCGAAAGAGAGACGGCACACAACGACACGCTTTCTCCCAAAGCGCTTGCTGGGCCCGTGAGCCGATGAGGCTGCGTTGGCGGGAGGGGGCGGGTGTGATGCAACTCGCTGTTCATCATTGCTGCTGCAATGAGCGGGGGTGTGGGCTTTCGTTGTGCTTCTGGCAGTCAGCAAGTGAGTTCGAACTGAAGGACCAATTCAAAAATTTGTATAAAAAAAAAAAAAAAAAAAAAAAAAAAAAAAAAAAAAAAAAAAAAAAAAAAAAAAAAGAACGACTTCCCTCAGTTCAGTTCAGCTCAGTTGAAACAGTGCATTTGGGTTGAGGATGGGCTGAATGGGGCGGACAGCACTTTGTCGCTGGTGTGTGATGTTAGAGTGTTGTATCTGTTCTTCAATGACCAGACACCAAAGACGGGGAGACAACTTGAAAACAAGGGCGTTGTTTGGACGTGTTACAATGTTCGCTCGCCTCGCCATTGTGGATGTGGATGTGTGTGGATGTGACGTTTGCACAGTAGTGTAACACCCCGATGTCTGGTGTGTATGTGTGGATGTGTGCTTTGGTTTTGGCGGCATGACGACGCTTCCCAATATAACATAAAAACAAGGGTGTCAAGGCGAAATATAGTATTATTATTATTATTATTAAAAAAAAAAAAAAAAAAAAAGAAGCGGCGTCTGAGTAAACAACGCCGAATCATCATCATCAACGACCGAACGAACGATAAGGGCGAAGGGCGATGAAGGCGATGAGGGGGAGAACAGTCAACCCATTTTGTGAATGACTTCTACTGCTCTACGTCGTCGGTCACAGTGGTTGCATTGGGCTGTGGTTTTTGGCTCGTTTGTTTGTTTGTTTGTTTTTTGGTTTGGTTTTTGGTTTTTTTGGTTTGCGGTCAAAAAACAAACACTCCGCTTCCACCAATCAACAGTGGGAGAGATGCGCTCCCACTTTTATCAACCGCCCCAATCAAACCCCGAATAATCGCTTGATTGAATTGGAGGGGGTGGATGTTGCGGTGGATGTTGCGGTCGAGCGACTGCCAAAACTCTTGACATACTCACCTGACTCAAATGACCCCTAACCCTGCCTCTTGCGTTTGTAATTGTTTGACTGCTGGCTGTGCTGTGCAGATCATTCACATCCGAGATTGACGAAGAAGTAGAAGAGGACGCAGACTCGCTCACAAGCTCGGCCAGCTCCGCATCACGAAAGCGATCGCTCATTGGCACGCTGAAACGAGTCGGAACAAAGCTGGGTGCGGGTCGCACAAGCGCCAGCAACAGTCCCGGTGGCGGCAATGGTGCTGGCGATGGAGAGAGTCGTCGTGCGTCCATTAGCTCGGCTTCGTCCCGTGTTTCACGACGACCGACAGCTCAAGAGCTGTTTGGCCTCGGTGTCAGCGCTGGAGGCAACGTCGATTCCGCGAGTTCAGGCATCGATCCGTCCGTTTCGTTGGACTCGATCAACTTGGCCGCAACTACAGGTACCCACCCACCTTCATTCTGTTTGAAATTTGATGTGTTGTTTTTGCACTCGCTCACCGTCAGCCATCCCCCACCACACCCCTGATACCTCTTGTCTGCTTTTTTTTTTGACCAGCTGGCCTGACACTGTCACCAGACCAGCTCCACGTCATTGTATGTCGACTCGGTAGCAATCCACCCTATTCACCAGAGAGCCGATTGCTCGAGGCCGTTCAGCTTGGCGATTTCGACACCGTGCGGCTGCTGGCGCCCGTTGTCGCAACCTCTGGCACTGCTTTGCGACGCTCCGCATCGACTGCCGACACAGCAGGAAGTAGCGACTCCCCAACACGACGAAACTCGAATGCAGACGAAGAACGGCTGCCCAACATCAATCACATTTTCGAAGGCCAGTACACGGTCCTGGATGTTGCTGCTCTCAGTAGCCATTCAGATATAACGCACTGGCTATTAGATCACGGTGCCATGCATGCGCCAACCAGTAGGTGTTTTTCGTCTTTTTTCGACGTTTTCTTTGCGCGTTGTTCTGCTAACGTTCTCACCATTCTCTATTTCCTTCCCTGCTGCTGCTGCTGCTGCTGCTGCTGCTGCTGCTGCTACAGCTTTGGACAATAAGATTTGGTTTGCCCTCCTCAAGGCATGGGTCTCTGAAACGTGGAATCGCTTCGATACGGTTATTGAGCTCAAGGCATGGGTCTCTGAAACGTGGAATCGCTTCGATACGGTTATTGAGCTCATGAACAAGGACGAGATTATCAAGATTTACCGCAAGCTCCGGTTGTACGAGCGTCAAATACGCCATTTTGAGTCTTCAGGTACGACAACTGTAATGGGGCTTGTTTGATTGGACTGTCCTGTGCAATGCATCTCGCCCTCGGTTTCACTCATCTCACTTTCAATACTTGCGTTTGGTTCTTGTTCATTTTACCCCCCCCCCCTCCCTTCAAAAGTGGTGGCGTCCGCTCCTTCCTCCGTCTCACTCACCTGCTTGAGCAACACTTCCCTGCTGGTCACGTTCGCACCGCCATACTCGAGTGGCAACGCCCTTCTAACCAATTACGCTGTTTCGTGGAGCGCCTCGCCATTCACCCCCGACTCGCCATTCAGCAACCCGGCCGGCTCCTCTGAACCGACCATCAAAACGGTGTATGTCAACGGACACTCGTCCACGTTTGTCATCGAGCCACTTCCCGAAAACGCAATCACGTTTGTGCGAGTAGCGGCGCGCAACATCCAGGGTCTCAGTCCGTGGCAGCTCGCATCACCCCGCTGCCTTCAGCTTTCGAGCTGGAAAGCCATCAATTTGGCCAAGCCCGTGGTTGACCTGGACGTTACGGCAAGCGCAATCAAGGACGCACAGGACTACTTTTCCGATCGCGCCAAGCGCCACCGCGACGTGGAGCGCGTGGTCATGGGCGGCTCCTCGAGCAAGGTCAAGCAAATGATGGGCGTTGTTCCCGACAGCAGCCACGTTGCGCTGAAGATTGCTCCTGGCTCGGACTGGGTTCCTCAAATGAAGTTGGAACGAACCCTCCAGCCGAATGGTATTTACCTGGCATCGCTCGTCTTTTGTGATGAGAACAACTCCGTCCTGATCACCGCCAAGGACGAGACGTGGCCGATTGTCACTCTCGACCCTGCCTACGTCGGAAAGCGCCAGTTTGACGAGGCGCACGACATCTTCACCTGGATGGCTCGTGTCGGCGCTCAGTGGAACACTCTCCACACGCTCTTGCAAGGTGTGGACGACTTTGACGGTCTGTACGATTCATCCCGAGCGCAATGCGAGTTTGTCAAGGCCGCTGCGTACTTGCGGCACGTTCTCGGCGTCGAGCTTGGTCGCCTGCATTTCCGCCCGCTGACCCTCCCAAATCGTGCGTCCGTGGTTGTGACTGTGCTCCGCGTGGCTAAAACCGCGGACATTAGTGAGGATTTGCCGCACAAGTGGCAAACAGTGCTCCCAACCTCCCTGTCGCAGCCGCCTAGCCTGCACTCATCCTTCACAACGGATCGCAACGGGACTGAAAATGGCTCGGACAAGGTCTCGACAAACAGCCCGCGTCCGAGCTTTATTGCTCCCGACTTGGTCAGTCGCACGTCCAGTTCTGACTTTTCCGTCGAAAATGTGCAGAACTTTGGTCTCGGCGCCTTCTTGAACCAGCTCAACAACGTCTGGGGCACCAATCCGGTTGCTGTTGCACCCGCGCTCTATCACGAACGTTCCAGCTCCACAGCGTCCGCTGCCAGCGTGCAGGCCGCCATCCAACACAACGAGCCTGTCGTGTCGATTGCCGCGACCAAGTTGCACGATTACACGGAGCACTTGCTGGCTGCTCACGTATCGCTGACAACCCCGCTGAGGCGCGGAGTGTATGTCGCGCATGTCATGCCGATCAACCGCATCAATCGCGTTGATGTTGTTGTGCCTCGCACAACTCCGCACATTGTGCCGCACAGCTTGGTGCGCGAGGGCTCGTCCCAGATCTCGGCCGAAGAGTGGAGCACGCTTCGACGCGTTGTCCGACGCGAAACGACCTTGTCCGAGCTCCAGGATCAGCTCGCGCAGCTGCAAGACGCAATCACACCGAGCTCGACGATCGACCACTTTGTGCAGATTTCCAAACTGCAGGCCGGCATCCGCTTCTGTCAGGAGGTCACCAGAGCCACCGCCCAGCTGACCATGTCCGTCTCGTCGCTCACAAGCACCCTGACAGCCAATGGCTCCAATGCGCACGGCCCGCACACACCCACGCAACCGTCCGGGTTGTCGCCCAACACGAGCACAGAGCGACTCGTGCTTTCTCCCGACCCGTCGTCCATCCGAAGCCGGCTCCAGGATGCAGCGACCCACACGGCTGGCCATCGCATCTACTGCGGCGAACCCATCGAAGTGAGCAGCCAAGTCACGCTGATTCTCATTCTTCCCCCGGAATCCACGCTGCGCCACATTTCGCAGGGCGGCTTGGCAGACTCGGAGCGTTTCATCTCGCTCCCACTCGCTGTGTTTGAGAATGTGCACTTTCTGCAGTACCAGGCATCCATCTATCGCATGTATGCCAAGCTATCCGTCATTGTACATCACGACAAGGCGTTGTTGAACCAGTGGTCCCGTCAAGGCCACTCGGCGATGGCCAAGGAGAAGGCTGCCGAGGAGCTTGACTTGATCTCGTCCGTGGATCACGATCTCGAGCTTTCCTGGAAAAACGTGCGGTGGGTCAAGCAAGCCGTTCAGCTTGGCTTGGCGCTCGGCTCGTCCAGTCACAGCGCCTCGACTTCTTCTTCTGGCAACCTGTTTGGCTCCCCGATCTCCAGCGTCAGCTCTATCGCTGCTACTGCCGGGTCGTCGTCCGTCCCGTCCGCGGATGCCAAGAACGAGCTCTTCCCTCTGCTGCTTCCTTCGCTGAATTTGACCCTTGGAACGGCGACCTCCACCGTGTCTGTTGGATCTGCAACGAGCGACAGCGATTCCAACATTTGATTTTGCACAAGCTGTCCCGTTTCACCGTTTGTATTTTTCATGTTTTGTTTTGGTTTTATTCTTTTCTTGCCGTTTGTTTAATTGTTGCGTTGTTTCGTTTCTTCTTTTTTTTTTTCTCGTTTTGTATTCGGCACTGGTTTTGTCTCTTGCCGCTGGTGATAGTGGCCGGTTTTATTGTCCATTGGACTTTTTATGTGGAATTGGCGTTGATCGTCAAGCAAAAAAACAAACAAATACACGAAAATGTAAATCTATCACCACTCTGTTTATCTGACGCGATGGCTCGTTCCACTTTGAAATGAGCTGAACCGATCGACCTCTGTGTAGTTTTGTTCCGTCTGTCGCTTTGGTCACTTCGTTACGGCCCTGCCCCTGGACTAAAGAAGCGCACAATCAGTTGCCTGACGTTCGATTTATCCAAACAAAAAGTAATCAACTCCTTCACGCAGATTCAAGCTGGAGAGATTTTCCTCGAACGACGGTCCTTGCCGTACTTCTCCCTCTCCCAGGGGTCTATCCATGGTGACGCAGATCAACAACGGAGGCTTGGCTTCGGAAAAATGCACACACGGCAAGTTGAAGAGCACGTCGCGGCGCGTCTCCCCGCACACCGACACGTTCCTGCCAATCTGCATGCTCACCAGAGATTCGTCACAGACAGAAGCACACTCTGTTGATGCATCGCGACGGGAAATGACAATCGGCATTGGCGATGAGATTTCACGAAAAACTCACCTTTGCTGGATCAACGTCGCAAAAGCCAATCACTTGCCGCTGGTAGTCTTTGGACAAGCCTTTCAAGAATTGTTTGCCATCGCGCCCAGCGCCCCAGATGGTAAAGCGTGACCATCGCCGACTGGTCTCGAGGTTGGGCGAGCTCAGGATTTGCGACTCGAACGCACGCAAGCGAATATCGCGCACAAGAGTCCGTGGGACAATCGACGACACAGACTGCTGAACGTAGCGGTACATGAGAAGCGGCTCTTGGACTTTGTGCAGTGTTCCTCCGAGCGCAACGTGGCGATACAGAAACTTGAGGTCTTCGGCCCAGCCGTTAATGTCATATCCTCCAACAATGTCAAAGTTTCTTCGAGACATAAACCACGTTGGCTGGATAATGGTGCTGCGTGCAACAGCAACACCAGGATACAAAAAAAAGTCACGAAATGTTTGGACAAATGCAGGCCGGTTAGAACATGCTGTGGAGCAACGCTGTGTCAGTCATTCAAAAAGACGAGCACACTACCATTCTTTAAATCGATGGGTTGTGAGCTGCTCATCGGTTAATGAATTGCACCAGCGTGCATATCGGGCTGTCGAGTCTGGAGGATCGCGAGTAAAGTTGGAGCCCACCAACGCGCGCGGCTCTTTCAGAGCCAATTCGAGCTGTGTCCATCATTCACGATTGACAACAGAATGGAGTTAAAAAACAAACCCATAGAACGCACAACCATATCCGAGATCAAGTGAGAACGAGAGTTGTTGAAATTTTGCCGTTTTCTTGGGTTTCATTTTCGACCCTTCTACGCTGCACTGACCTGCTTTGCCACACGATCCGCCATCATGACATCGTCGGCATCGATAAAGCACAAGAACTCGCCCGTGCTTTCGCGCACTGCTCGATTGCGGCCGTTGCCAGGCCCGCGAACAGCGCAATCTTGCTCCCCGCGGGTCACAAGTCGCAGTGTTAGCGGCGCACAGGTCCCGTCCGCACCATGCGACTGCTCGTTGATTGCCAGAACCGACCGATTCGTGAGTAAGGAGGGGCTAATGTCTTGCGGAGTGACTTTGTGGAACTCGGCCAGCTCCAGCATGGCGGCCGAGAATGGCGTCTCTGGCAGCGACTGATCCCGCGACACGACAAACAGCCGCTCGACTTCCTCCTTGAGATAGGCGCGTCCCGAGTCGTCCTGGACGACGGCGATGCCCAGTCGCTGAGCGAGCGCGCGCAGCAGGTCGCACGAGTCGTCCTGTCCACCACATGCAGCAGCAGCAGTCGTGAGAAACCACACCATCAATCGAATCTCAGAGCTATCAGAGTTATCAGAGTTATCAGATAGCCGAGGTCTGTTCTCGAGTTACCGTGCTGCCATCGTTGAATACGCAGATTTCCAGCGGTCGGTACGTCTGAGCGACAATGGACTCGATCGTTGCCTGCAGAAACCGCGATGCATTGTACACTGAGGTCCAAACCACTGCAAGTAAGAATCCAAGAGTAATGATTTGCGTGATGTTGAGCAACATGAGAAAGCGCCATACTCGGGATGATGACAGAGATGAGCGTCATGAGCACGAAATGGGCAAAGGATCAAAAAAAAAAGCAGGACTGGACTGGTCTGAGATTGTGAGACTGTCTGGGCTTCGTACAAATCAATCTGCAGGTAGGCAGAATAAGGAAAACAAAAGCAATATAGCAGTATAGCAATATATTGAGATAATACTGAAAAATAAGATGAGAAACGCAACAGCTCAAGTGAACAAACACGCAAACACAACGCAAACACACACACACACATCGAGGCCTTAGATGTCTAGGGCCCCTTCGATCTGAGCGAAGGTAGGCTCGCGCAACACGCCAAGCGGCTTGTCGACTTTGAGACGTTCGAACGAGCAAGGCGGCGGCGAATCGGCTCCAGCGGCCTTGGGAAGCTCGGGCAGGTGCGCAGGCGACGCAACGCAAACCTGGCCGGCAAACGCATCGACAGTCGCCTTGAGCTCCTGCTTGGGCTCCCACGTGGGACTGGCCGACGAGTGTCCAGTCGGCCAGAAAGTGTGGGTTTCGCCGTGAAGACGGTGCGCGTGGACGACAAAGTCGGGGCGCATCACGTAGGTCGCCACTGGCGCGCACACAAACAAGAGCTGCTGCAGGTGGGACATCTTGGCAACAGTGCGGTCCCAGCAGGGTCCTTGGCTGGCAGTGATCATCGTCCAGTCGACGTGCGACAGGGTTGTCAGACCCTGGACGCTCGTGAGCATGAGCACATCGCTCGGTTGCATGCGACCAAGCTCAACCAAGCCGCCAGCTTTGGGCAAAAGACCGCGGCTGGAGCCGGCAGGCACCAACACCATGTCCGGAGCAGCCTGGAAGGCGTCGCTCAGGCTCTTGAGGTCGAGCGAGCGCTCGTACAGCAGATCGGGACGCGAGCGAATGACAATGTCCGTTGGTAGCAGATCGCCAAACTCGTACTCGTCGGCGGTGATACGCAGGGACTCGAGCGCACCCAGTTCATTGCGGGCGTGGCGCTCGCCTTTCCAGGAGATGCGCTCGTCATCAGCATCGAGCACAACGCCGGTAAAGCCAATGTTCTCCGCCTTGAGTGCTTCGATAACGCCGTCGAGGAGCTCTGCGGGTCGACCGACGGTGGCAGTCATGGTGGTGAGGTACTCGAGCGGGTTGACATCAGCCTTCCACCAGGCCGCCGAGCGCGACTCAATGTCACTCCAAGTGTACAGGCACACGTGGGGGACGACCTTCTTGTCGCCGAGCTCGAGGGCTTTCACGAACGCAATGAGGTTGGGAATGTTGGCGGCGAACGTGCGGAAGTGGCCAGTGAGCAAAATCCACACGCGCTGCTCTGTCGCGGCATCCAACGCTCCCTTGTTGCCAGTCATGGCAATGCGCGTGACACCGGCATACGAGGCAAAGCGGTTGCGGTACTTGACGGTCGTTGGGTCTGCAATGAAGAGGTCGGATGGGTCGACATCGCCGGTGGCAGCCACTTCCTCGGCCTCGTCGACGGCGTCCTTTGCGTTCTCCGTCGCATCCTTGCCGAGGGAGGTGTCCTCAGTGTTGTCCTCTGGCGCCTGCATGTTCGTGTCAGCGTCTGCCGTCGATGCATCCGTGTCGTGGTTTCCGGCCTTGGCGCCGTGCTCCTTGGCAATCATCTGCTGGCAGCGCGCGTACTGCGCCTCCTCGTTGAGCAAGACCGAGTTGAGCGTCTGGTCGTCGTTCGCCAGGTCGGTCGTGAGCTTTGCAACCTGTCCGCGCAGTGCAGTGATTTCCCCCTCGGCAGCAGCGAGTGCCGCCGTGGCGATCGTCCGGTCGCGGTGCAGGTTTTCAATCTCCTTGAGCAGCTCTTCGATCGTTGCAGCGTCGTCAATGTAGTCGTCCTCGTCGAGCACCGGGTCGTCGTTGCTCCCGGCATTCTTGTTACCACCACCGTCGTTGTCGCCGTCGTGTTCTTGGGTGGTTGCGTGGGCAGCATCAGCAGCATCAGCAGCATCAGCAGCATCAGCAGGAGCAGCAGCAGAAGCAGATGGGGCTTCCGTCGCCGGCTGGTCCACGCGCTTGGCCAGCACGCTCCGGTAGTACTCGGGGCCCTTGTATGTAGAGTTTGACATGCCATAGTTGTTTCCGCTGTGGTAGCGCTTGTCGCCGTCGCCCCAGCCGCCGTCCCAGTCCTCGCCGCTTTCGTAACCAGAACCACTGCCGCCGCTTCCATTCTTGTTCCCTCTTCCGCCGCCGCCCGCCAGCATCGAGAACGCCAGCCCCAGCGCAACCACAAACGCAGCCAGAATCGCCATGTTGAGCGGCCGCATTGCCCACCGCGCGACAAGCACCAGCTTGCTCTCCCCGCCAAACGACGTCTCACGCCCCATCTCTTTTTTGATTCGATTTTCAATGGGGTTCGATTAGAATCAAAGAGAAAGAAAAAAAAGGGAAATGACTGAGCGTTTGTTTGAAATGGGCGGAAATGTGGGTGAATGAAGCGCAAAGTATGAGTGCAGAGGAGAGAGCGGGAGAGAGAGCGGGAGACAAAGGGGAGCGCGGGGGCGGGAGGGCGAAAGGCCGGGTTCCGCCTTGTTGCGAAGGAGAGGCCTCCCGTTTTCCCCCGCGCTCTTTTCGACCCTTCCCACTACCCTCAGTGCCCCCCCCCCCAGTTCCAGTCAGCATAAATAAACGTTTACTTTCATAAAACATCGTCACTTGGCGAAATTCAATCCCACAAACCAACAGTGCCTCACTCGCTCGCAGCCCTTCACCCCGCACCCATCGGCACATCCTCGTCCCTCCCTACAACTTCAAGTCTGTGTTTAATCGTCTCTCTGAGTAACCGGCGTCAAACCGATCTCATGGCAACGACAATCGCGACGCGTAGCAAAGTTTTATTCAAGTCGGCAGTTTCACGCATCGATACACGACGGTTCTTGGCTCGAGTTGGCGCCAAAACAGGCCCGCTTCCTCACTCCCTCCAATAGATGCGCTCGATTGAAGGCTATCATCGATCCAGCTTCCAGAGTGAAGCGGCCGACAGGGGACGACCAGGGGCTTCTCAAGCAAAGCGTGTGCAATCATTGCATTTTGAGTTGATTCTCATTCAAATGCATTTGCTCAGACATTTTTTCTATTATTGTTTCTTGTTTTTTTTTCTTTTCATGGTCAAACAAAACAAGCAAACCGCATCATCATCGGCGGATGCATTGAGCACTGGTCTCGCCGGGCGAAGCGTGAATGATGCTGCTCGTGCTGCTGATGCTGCTCGTGCTCTTGCTGCTGCTCGTGCTGCTGCTTATGCTCGTCGTGATGCTGCTGCTCCTGTACCTGCTCGTGGTGCTGCTCGTGCTCCTCCTGCTGCTCGTGTTGCTGCTTTTGGTCGTGCTCCTCCTGTTGGTGTTGAAGCGACCTCGAGTTCTGCTCCTGCTCCAGATGCTGCTCCCATTGGTAAGTTTATTAGTTGACCGGCTCTTGCCTCCTCGTTGCTTTCCGCATAAACAAACCACTGTCAGCAAAAGGTCTCGGCGATTTTTGCGCGCGCTTTTTTATTATTTCTTCGGCTTCTTTTTTTGTTTTCTCTCTCTCTCTCTCTCTCTCTCTCTCTCTCTCTCTCTCTCTCTCTCTCTCTCTCTCTCTCTCTCTCTCTCTCTCTCTCTCTCTCTCTCTCTCTCTCTGTCTCTGTGTCTCGTGTCTATCGGAGCGTCTCCGTCTCCGTCTGTGGCAGCGACTGTGTGACGTGGCAGCAGAACCCACTCGTTGCCTCAAACGACACCAACCCTTGTCATCCAGCATAATCGACCGTACCGCGATTAACAGAGACGCCTCCATTGAAGAAAAGCGCAATGCACGCTCAGAGCATGCGGGCGATCAGATGCTCAGAGTTCCCTCCGCCGCCAGCCACGCGTGCGACGCTGCTCAGCGCAAAGCGGCGGCCGAGAGCAGACGTCGAGGCAACTACAGCCAGCGACTCTGTAAGCACTCAGCGTCTCTGTGTGAGTGATATGTCTATCACGCCAGCCAGCTCGGA